ACACACACACCACTTGCACACAAATCAGAGATCGTGCTGCGCACACACAGAAACATTCAGGAGCACAGAAACATGTTGTCAACGCTGCCCTCCGACTTTTATTAATAAAACAGTTGAGTTGCTTGTTATATTTAAAAATAAATAGCAATTAAATTTAAGTTTGGGCTCTGTTGTTAACTGTAATGTAAAAGGGCTCACTGTTGTTTAGAGCATATGCTGAGATTTTTATGAAAATCTTAACTGTAATGTAAAAGGGCTCACTGTTGTTTAGAGCATATGCTGAGATTTTTATGAAAATTTTAATTACAACTGAATTTATTTAAAGAAAGAAAGAGCAATTTGTTCAGTAAACCACTGTTTAATAAAAAATAAAAAGTTATGTTTAGTTTTTTCCCCTGCTGTACCGAACCGTGACATCAAAACCGAAGTACGTACCGAACCGTCGTGTTTGTGTACCGTTACACCTTTATGTACTAAGCATCTAAGGAGGTTGGTCAAACAGCATATTGTTCAACATCATTTAGAGAGAGTGAAAAGGACAGATTAATCTGTCTCGCTAAAGGTTTCTTCATGAATAAACTCATTTATGGGTTATTAACATTTAACAAGTGCCATTTTCAGCCCTGCGAGTCTGGCCAGCTTGAGCAAACTCTTGATAATGTCGTGGGTGAGAGTTTGCATGGTCAGATCAAGAGATTTCTTTAATGGCGCCTGCAGGTGAGGCGACTCTAATGAGGCCGGGTGCTGCCTGATAAAGGGTGTGAGTCAGCACACCCCACCCTGCCCTTTCAGCGCACCATCCTCCACCTCTCCCCTCTTCGCATTCATTTGTTTACCTAGCCCGCAGTGAACTGTAAAATCAGACTGATTTCATCTCTACATTTTACATATGCATGAGCCTTGTGCAGCTCAGAGCGGAGGGATGAATACACACTCTCCAGAGAGACCTGTGGTGCCCCCTGAACAAACAAACACACACCCCCCACACAAACACTGACCTCTGTGCCTACACACACACACAATCACAATTAACTTAGTCATACACACCTACTTGTACATTCAGATGTCAGAAAGAGGTTTTCACAGATACATGAAAATGTATTTAACATGTTTGTTGTTGTGGTGGTTTTTGTATTGGATTTTTTGTTGTGGTGTTGTATACCAACAGTGTTTAGTTCAGTAAAAATCTAAAATGGCAGACAAAGTCAAGAAGAATGTAGATAATTAATATACTTTTATTCAAAGCACCAGTAAATCTAAAATGGACTATTTCTCCTAATATTTGTGTATACTGTGCAATTGCAGTAGGTTAGCAACATGCTAACTTTAAGCTTTGCCAAAGTCAACTGTGTTAGTTGTGTCTTCTGTGTGTACTGCCTAATGTGAAATGTGAGAGTTGGCTTTGTACCCCTTTCCAAATCTGTCACTTTTGAGGTTTCATGATAGTTAGGATGCTGCCTTAAAAGGTAGCTGCCTATGTAGGTGCTGAGGCAGCTCACTTGGTCATTTACACACAGCAGAACATGACGTGTACCACATACAAAATTCTGCATGGATACTTTTAGGCTGTTCTGAGTAGAATCAAAACATTACACATTTCCACACCACTACGGCGTACATCCGATGTAATTTCACCCTAGATTTTCGTAATGAACTTATTACAAGGAGCATCCTGGGGTTATCTGGTTTACTCAAGGGTGCTATCAATGTAGTTTTCACTATAAATTCAGCTGTTAAACAGAATTATTTAAGAATAAGTTGAAAAAATGTGCACTGATGGCTTTAACAAAAGCATGTATCATCGATTAACAACCTGGTACCTCACAGCAGGTCTGTCTTTAAAGTTTTAAAAGTTATCGTTAAAAGTCAGTACCCCTACATGGAGAAAATGAATGATATTTTTACATCCGGAACCTGACTGTTGCTCTCTGTTCTGTAGCAAATGTTTTACCAGTGTGCGCTACTTTTCTTTTGAGGGCATTTCAAAGCATCCTGTGAGACTGTCCACAAACTCATAGTACCTTCAGCCAATCAGTGTTGTACTGCTTGATTAATCGCAAGACATTTGCCCAGATGATTGGCTCAAATACCTCTGTGGAAAGATGGCAGATTTCAAATCACATGCCTCTAGACAAGCAAGTGTCATTGAGATGAATGGGAATGCTAATGGTGATCTCACTCCAGGTATTGTAGACCTCTTCGGGCACAGTGGTGATGACTCACTTCTTGCTTCAATCGAATCGGCAACCTTCCGGTTACCAGCATTAACTGCTGTGCCACACCACTTCTATATCTGATCAGCCCTTAAATGAGGGAAGTAATCATTGATCTCTTTGTCTCCTTTCTAGCCACAGGCTAGGTCTCTGGAAAGGTGGTTTTATGCTCGTATGCACTGTTATCAGTTTCATGGATACGGGGTGTTCGTTTCATGGTCCTCAGTTTGTCTATTTCCTCCTGATTGGCGTGTTTTCGGTCAGCATGGATTGGCAGCTTCTGACAGAGTTGAAAGCACAGATGGTGAGAGGGCAGAGTGTGGACACAGTTAGCAACATGGTGTGAATGCGAGGGCACAGCCAAATAATGAAGCAAATCATTGCTGTCATTACAGCGGGACAGATCCAGACAGATATCGTTATCTGTTGGGGAAGGATCCTTTACATTTTTCTATACCAAATATTGAGTTTTGAACACTGAGGTCTTGCTGTCAGATAGTGATATCTGCTCCATTTGAAGATAAGTTCTGCTCTTTAACCCTCCAGGCATATGATGGTTATCTTCACCGTTCTGAATTTCACCATCATCAACATTCAAAGACGCCCACTTCTGTTACTCATGGAGTTCATTGCATCTTGTGAAGGGGAGGCAAAGATAGAGCGAGGAAGATGTGTCTGATTGAAACTGAGGACATTTGCTCTTTTGTTCAGAAGCACTTCCTCTCTGACCCCTCGCTCAACTAGCCTTTTTTTTCCCAGGTAATGTGTGCCCGTCCTTTCATCATATATATTGAAGCCCCGAAGACATTTCAGGTTTTTTGTGAGACTGAGAGGAAAAATGTGGCTAATATGTAGGCAGGAGGGCAGCCGTTATGAGGACGTTGGAGATAGAGGTGGTAGCACGGCGAGCCGTGTATTTAAAATCAGCTCATTGAGACAGATGACACAATTTCACACATATTGCCCTCGGAAAAGCAGCCAGTTTTCCATAATGGCCCGAACCTTCATCTGTCAGGCCCTGCTAAATCTACTGGAATCATTTCCTCATGGATTGTATGTCAGTATTTATAATCGATTAAGTTGCCTATATGTGTCAGGGTACAATTCGCACCGTCCCAGTCCTCTGTCATCTTTTTGCCTTTTCGGGTGAAGAGGAACAAGAAGACTGTAAGACAAATGGGGGAAGTCTCACCAAAATGTCTCTGCTTTTGAATGTTTTATATGAGCTCTAAAAGGCGTGACTGCACACGGTGTGACCAAAATCCTATTTAAAGAGGAAGGAAACATGAGATGCTCTCAAATCTGCATGCTGAATGAGGGGAGGTTTAGCCTGTCTTTTAAGAGATTGCTCATCTTGCTAATGTAATGCACACAGTTAATCTGGCTCTTCTTTGGGCTTGAGTCAGGCTTAGTCCAGGAGGGTTGGAGGACTGCTAGACTCCATCCTGTTTTAGGAAATGTAATCTGGGATCTGGCTTTTTACCCCCTCCCCAAGACTCCCAGTACTAAATCCCCCAATAAGCAGCCTTTGTGAGCAACTCACACTACCTGTCATGGCTTGATTACACGGCACAGCAGGTATTTCAGGGGGAAGGTGACTCTGTGATGAATGTGGAGAGAGAGAGAGACAGGGCCAGTGCCGGTCTAAAATGTGGCATTGAATGAATCGCTCACGTTAATTCATGTTTCACAATGAACTCTACAGTAATGTGACAAGACCGATAGGGGTGTCTGCCTAGGTGGAGTAGGTGTCCTCGAGCCAAGTTGAGAAATTGTCTAGGGGTCATGGCAAAAAAATTATTTTAAATATGGGGGGCACAACTGAAATTAGAATATAGTGTTTCATTATATTCTATTACATCTATCTAATTATTTAGTTTAGTGACCCTTCAGACACCATAGTTACCTGTAACTGATAGATATCTGTGTGATGTTGAATGTCTGTAGCTACTATAATGTTTTTATAATTAATACTAAATATCATTGTTAAACAAATATTATTTAAAGTATTGAATAATTATAAAAAAATTATAAAATTAAAATAATGAAATTGTTATATTAAATATTTAAATCATCAATAGTTTATTCTACATTAATTTGGGTATTCTCTGTGTACAATGCATTGCCTTAATTACATATTAAGGAGCCCAACTGTCTTAACATTGATAATAATATGAAAATCAGCATATTATAATGATTTCTGATGTGACACTGAAGACTGGAGTAATAATGCTGAAAATTCAGCTTTGCATCACAGGAATAAATATAAAATATATATTATAGTATATTTAAATATAAAATATGTTATATACTGTAAATGGAATACAGTCTTTTTAAATTGTAATAATACTTCACAACATTGCAGTTTATACTGTATTTCTATTCAAATAAATGCAGATTTGGTGAGCAAAATGCCACATAAGGAAACATTTATAATGTTTTAAAATATAAATTGCATAAGTTAAAATATAAGTGACAATCAGCAGTAGAGCACTGTTCATTGTAGGATTTCTAAATGATGGTCAGTTATTTAAAATGGACTCTAGTGTTGTGATTCCTTGAGCATTATTTACAGCTACTTTTGTTTTTGATATTGATTGATTTTGTATGTAATAGCCTTAAATGCACACGTATGTACAACATGCTTTGTGTGTATGCTGCCCTGTTGACACTGCCACACACTCATGTGTATACCGCAATAGCTGTATTGCTGTCCAGTATTATATGATGTGTCATGTAAACCACCTCGGCTCTTTTTCACTCTGCTCTCTTCTTGCCCTTTACCAGATGCCAGTGAGAAACCCTGACCCCAGAATGACACCCCGCTATGAGGACGTCGAGCGACAGTATGCCTCCCTGCCCAGGTAAGAACGTCTACTCATTAATCCCGCATTCTTCGTGACAAAACAAGAAGAGATGGAGAGCTAGAAAAGGAGAAGATGGAAAGGAAGAGAGGGGGAGAGAAGGTCTCTCTCTGTCTCTCTCTCATGCAGAGCTGAATAATCCTCTTTAAAGTGTATAATTAAATCTGGAGTGTCTGCCTTCTGAGGCCCTCCTATCCTGGGAATTCACCTGATCCTCACGGGGGACATGGCCATGCGGTCGCAGCTCTGTAACCCGATCACAGAACGCATTTCTGAAGCCGCCTAAAGTTACGGATGTCTTTTTCTCCTGTGCTGATTCTATGGTTCTCAATCACGTCTTTCCGTGTTTGCTGAGCCTGACCGACCACGACGGCCAGCGCAAACAAACAGGCAAGCGCACAGGCGCGAATGTTGGCTCGTAAAGTCCACAGCCTGTTTGCTCTCTCCGGTCTGTGTAAACAGCGCTGGTGTTAGTGTGAGGGTCACGGTTTATGAGTTTGGCACATGTAAGTGTGGATCTGTCATCACATGATTGCAGACGACTATAAACGGATAACTGATAACAAATGAGACACATTAAGAAATCTAAAACTTGCAAGTGATGAACTTTTAAAAGTGTTGGCGAGGCATTTTTTTGTCATAGCACTCATTGAATTGAAATAAAGCACTAAAACACTTGTATTTATCACTTTCCCTGCAGCATCATTACAGGGTTGAACTAAGATTTCACTCCCCCAAAAAGGCTTATCGCAACAGATTTTAGCATCAACCACCCCGGGGTCTACTTTCAAAGCCATTTCCCTTCTAAATAGCGCTCCTCACCTCTGTTAGTCTCTAGATTAATTAGAGTACAACGTGTTTTTTGTGCTGATGCAAAAAGGGGACCAAACGTGGGCCAAAAACGCCCGTGGAAGACTCTCGCTTTCATTATTACACCATTCCGAACTGGAAGAGTTTCAAATCTGTGTCGGGCCCACGCTGAGGTCACTGGTTATGCAGTCGACTGAAGGTTGGCCTGGTCTTGAGTGCATGCAGCTCTTCCATGTGTGTCTAATTATAACCATTAGTGCATTGATACACCAACTTATTACCCAGTGTGCTCAACTCAGGGTTAGCCAATCAGAAAGGCCGTTTGCCACCTGCCTCCAGATTATTGGATTAACTGGTCAAGTCAAAGTTGTGATTCATTGTGTTAGGGCATTCATTAGACCGTTTTAGTGATAACTGGGTGATGAATGCACAGATGGTGGCCCATTTCGATGAACTCTGGTCAAGAGGCACATTTTTGGAACTGTTCTTTACTGCACAAATCAATCAAAATCACTCATTCTTCCTCATCCTATCCTTCACTTTAAGACTAACCAATTCCTTTCTTAAGAAACCAAGAAACACCCCATTAAATATCTCAAAAGACCCCCCTAGTCCCACACTCTTTGGCTTTTCTGCTAGTGGGCCTTCCCAGACTTCTTAAGACTGGTCACAATGGTCTCATTGTTTATTCCGCCTCATCAAGAACGTTCTGTGTTAGAAGACCTCTTAATGTGTCTTTGCAGTCTAAATGAGTGTAAAATCGTCTGTTGTCGAACCTTAGGAGAGCTTAAAAGACTCTGTTGAAGCAATTTGTACAAATGTCAGTAAATTGTTCTCGTATCTTTTAGATTAGCCAGCGAGCTGTCAGTTTCAACACCGCAAATGCCAGAAAAGAGCTTGTGATGTGGGAAGGAGGTTACATTTGATGAGAGCTCTGAAAATAATGCCATATTTTCATTGTTCTGCCTGTTCAATGTTGCCCTGGCAACCAACACCCACCCACTAGGCTGGACCTCCTCACCCTGTCCTCCCGATTTCTCACTTTTTTTCTTTCTTTTTCTTTCTTTCTCTGGTTTTCATTTTCCACTCCTTCTGAAATTCGTGAAATTTGCTCCCTCCTGTGAGGCGCGTCAGGTTTGTAAATTGTCACTGGTGTCAAAAAGACATGATGGCTGATTGCTGTTCTGAGTCTCCTGCAGGTGAGCTCATAGGTGTCCGACAAGCTGCGAACGGCGTGCTTCTGCCCAGACCATTTCCCGTCCAATAGCAGGACAAGCATGCAAGCGTGACTTCTATAGAGCAAACCTCATTTAGCACCGTTCAACCCCAGCATCCATTATCACACCAAGCAGGTAGCAGATGGAGAATATTAGGCTAATGATTAAATGAAGCAAGCTGATTTTTTTTTGATGGTTTCACTTGCTGCTGCAAATGTGGTCAATCATTACTCATTCAATGCTCAGAATTTGCTTCAAGGTTTTGGAATAGCTGGGCATTTGGCACCATTTCAAGGAGGTATTATTCGTACTTGGGCATTCTCAGCCTGAGATGCAGGATCCGCAAAAAAAAAATCCAGGGATCTATTTCAGACTTCACGAGAATGACACCACTTAACCGCCTGACTCATCTTTGAAGACATGTAGCACCCATCACATACCTTTCATACAGTTCTCACACATACACACGGACGCCTATTCATTTCACACTCTGAAGGCTGAGTGTTGTTAAAGAGCAAGTTCAGTTGCTCATTTTCACTTCCCTTTTGTCAAAACCATCTGCAATGCGAAGCTTCAGTTACTACCGTCAATTTAAGGATGAAATTCAATTAGATGTGGCAAAATAATCAGAGTTTCAAGTCTAATATCACTCCTAATTTCTATAATTGCATTTTAGGTCATACAATAACATTTCTGATGGATAGACACCTATCTTGTTAACTAAGTTTGTTATGAGAGCTGAGTGTTTTTTTCCGTTTCTCTGCTCCAAATATAAGGCTGGAATGCTAACCAAATAATCCTGACTGGATTTGTCGTCTCGGTGGGATCCTACCCGGTGTTATATGACGGCCAGGGGTCAGTAGGCCGTGTGTTTGTGTACATGTGTGTGTGTGTGTGAGGGTAAGGTGCGTGGTTCCCGAGGGCAGCTGAATAAACAGCCCGGCCTTCAGATGGTCCACGGTGTTACTTTTTCAACCAGGTGCACTATGGGATCTCTGATGTCCAAAACATAGCACTTATTTCAGGGCAGCTCCTGTCTAGGATAGCAAGGAGCCTGGTTTGAATGTTTGTGTGTCAAAAAATGATTGTCAGCTACAAACTCCTCAAGCGAAAAGCTTTACAGACAGCAGAACATGACTGTCCTCACTGACAACACCAAAAACGAGATAACAGACATTCACCAGACAACATTCACCAATCAGACACTGGAGTTGATGTTCCAGGATGAAGGTTTGAGGAGCGAACAGCTGGCACCTTCTGTTTTTTCCCTCTTCTCTCTTTGGTGATGGACGACTGAAGCGTTTATCTTTCATTAGTTCTCACTTTTCCTATATTGCTCTTTTGTTTTGGTTTCTCTGCCATTAAAGAGTCATTGAGTTGGTAATGAAATCTCATTTTAAGAGGGAAACTTTGTTACCTTGAGTTTCATAAGTGCTTAACCTGGTTAGGAAGCCCAAATGAAGACGGCAGTCTCTTACTCGCTTTGGAATATGGCTGATATGAAGAGCTTGAGAAAGTAAAGATGTCTCCGTGTATAACATGCTGGCTTATGGCTGTCATTAGGGTTTGAAAGTAATGATAAAACAGCCCAGAATATAATTTTGTCTGCATCTGCTCACTGCATGATGGAGAACTGGAGGCAGATTTTTAATATACCTTTCATTGTTCATTCGGTGAAAGAGGATAATTTCGTTTTTAGCTATTTGTGTTGCTGGAGTTTCTCAGGGGACTAATTTAGTCTGCGCTGTTTATCCATGTGGCTATCAAAAGGGAATCATTGCATAATCATTTATACCGTAATCATTCTGAATGACTTTGTAAAGCTCAAAATGTTTGTAGGTACTGTATGTGGTAGCTTGTCTAATGGCTTGTCTTTTTTGTGTGTAGAGCTTAGTCAGGGTGGATGGCATATTTTTAACATTTTGCATTTTGTTTTGTTTGTTTTTTTCCCCACTGGATTTGGAATAAATGGTTATTATTGAATGAATTATGTTTATTTTATCTGTCAGCTGATCAGTCTGCGCAACACAGTGCATCCCGTTGAAAAGCCTGTTCTTCTATCCCTCACAGCCTCATTTCATTCAAGTGATTAAATATGCCATCTACTCTGACTGAGGTCCATGGGTGCTCAAACAGCTGCTCCCAGCTGTTGAGCCCACAAAACCATTTAAATAACTGTACATCAGGAATGTATTGTAATTCCCAACCAAGCCCCAAAGGCAGTTGCACAGAGTATTTAAACCAGGAGGGAAATATGTCCCAGTGGGCCACATACCACTATAGCACATTTAGTTTGAAAAATCAGGATTTCACGGACTGAATACTAAATTCACTGCCATGAGATACTTAGACAAGAATGGGCCTAATGTTTCTAAAGTTCTTATCTTGATCACTGATCCTCAAACTGCATGCCTGTTCTAAATATCATTCTGCCACTTCCTGGTTTCCCAGCTTTCCCAACTCTTTTTTTTTTCTTTTTTTTTTCTTTTTTTTTTTTAAGGAGGGCATGAGGGGTCAAAAGTGATAAGAGGGGGTCAGTAGAATACAGTTGACACATACAGGAATGCAGTACACTTTGTTGTCCTAGTTTCAAACAAATAAAATGTTTTTTTATATATATATATATATTTTGGCCTGTACCACTGCACCATCTTGACTGTTAAAGTGGTCAAATAAAATCAAAGTGGTCCTAATATATATATATATTTTTTTTTTTTCTTCAATTATATATATATTAAAATATCTATATATCTTAACATAATATTAACACATTTTCCCAGAAATGTCACACATTTAAAACACAACTGTTTTATTATTTAATTTTATTTTATTTTGTTGTTTATCTAATGTTTATCTAAAATTAAATACTAGAAATTCTTTTAAAATTAAAAGAAAATAAAATAAATTCTACAGAACTAATTTTAATTTTACCAGAAATGTCCTATATTTTGAACACATCTTAGTTATTTTTTATCTTATTGTAGTTGTTTAATGTTCATTTCTATAAATAATAATAATAAATTAAAAACGCAAATCCTGATTTTTTTATTATTTATTAATGCTTAAAATGCTAAGGTTTTAAAAAATGGCAGAACCTATAGAAAAGGAATAAAAAATAAAGCAGCTCCTATAAAATTTAAGTTGTCCACCTGAGGTTAACAACCAATATTTTCTGAAGGCACCAACTTTCATTGACCAAGAAAAAAATGTTTGAGTCTTTTGGGCCTTATTTTGTACCCTGTTCATGGAAAGTACCAGTCCTGTTGCTTCCTCTGGTTTCCTGTTGACTGTTTTCACAGTGGAACATTCTTCACCCTCCTGTTTCCTACCATCCCTTTAGACGAAACTGTAGGACTCAACATCAAGAAAAGATGTCTTCAACCAGAACAGAAGTGTAAGCACTTTGTGTTTTGTATTAGCATGTTGGAGGACTATTGGCTTGAGAACAGGAAAGATTAATTGTTAATGTTCTGGGCTTGTGGTGAAGTCTTGAATAAGCTAGCAGATCCAGGTGCAGGCAGCCACCGCAAAGCTGATAAACTCCAACAGTAATGATGATTTTGGCCTTCACTTTGCAAACGCACACACTGTACAACACACTGCTTATCTGGGACTGTTGAGGCTGTGACGTCATAGCCAATGATTTATCGAATGACTGACTGAGATGGTCAGGAGGGAGTGTGTGCATCCAGATGCCCGGTTGTCCCGCTGGATGGGTGGTCACAGCTTTGGAGAGATTAAGAAGATACTGATGATTTTTGGAATGCTTGTTTTCTTGCCCTCCAGGTCTTCAGGAAACCCTCCCTTTAGAGGAACGAGACCACAGTGAAAGAGTGTGCTTTCCATCGAGGGCCTTCAGACTGATGTTTTCCACATTCAGCGGGAGTAACGCGATACGTGTGAAACACATACACAGACCGTCTTGCATTAAAGCAGCTGATACTGCCATCAGATGGGAAGCATGTTTGCAGACACATCGTACACGTAAATAAGTTAATGGAGATGGTCTGGAAAGTCAAACACAACGATCCAGGCTCCTTAAGACATGTGGCATGCCGAGGCTGTCATTGATACTTGCCTGAGCTATGACCGGAATGGGAATGAGGGGAAGGAAGACAGCTGATTCGGCAGTCTGGCGAAAGCAAATGATCGTACTTCACTCTGTCTGGTTTTGTCTTCGCTCTCGTTCTCATTAGCCTCTTTCTGGTAGTCTTTCAGCTGTGGTGTAATATAACTGCTGGCTAAAGCCTCTGGAACTCTGCATTTAGAGCACAGCAGCGCAGGATCCGGAAAAATGCAAATAGTGCTATGAAAGGTGATCCATGCCGAATTATATAATTATATAATATATATAATTGCGGTGTCTCACCTTACAGTGGATATTATACCCTAATCAGTCAGCGTGAGGAAACCAGAGATAGCCAACTGTCTACCGTCTCCAGGGACCCTGACCGCATGTCAGTCCCCGTCCCAGATTTGTATGTGCTTGAGACGTGTTAAAATGTTTATGTAGCAGGTCCTTGGTATGTCACGCTTGCCTCAGCACATGTAACACAGGATCATGATACCAGGACTCACGCTCGCCCTCCCTCCCTTCCTCTCACTCTCCACAAAATGCCACCGGTCTGATTAGGGGTTTACTGTATTCCGTTATCTGTTGGTCCTCAGGCTCCTGATCCCTACAGCATTTTAGTGTACAACCTACAGATCCAATTCCTTACGCTTCTCTAGTGAACTGACTCTTGGTCTACTGTATACAAAGGTAGCTAGTTTCTATGGTAGCATCTCAACCGAAAGAGAGACCCCCCCCCCCCCCCCCCCCCCCCCCCAAGTAAAAAAAATTTCCAATTTGAAGCACTCTTCATATGTAGCAACTTGGGGAACAATGACTCAACACAAATAGTGATCTTCATATGAGCACACAGAGTTGATTCCATTAGAGTGAGACATTATCATTCTGCTAAGCTAACAGCTCTTTAATCATCACAAGAACATTATTATATATTTACATAACAATAATAATTAATATGATTATTATATATTACTGTATATATAAATGTATGTATATACATTTATATATACAGTAATACATCAGCAAGGATGAATTGAGTTGATAAAAAAATGACAGTAAGATTTCTGTTTCAAATAAATGCTTTGTTTTTTATTCTTTTTTTTTTTCTTCATCAAAGAATCCTGGGGAAAACAATTTCACTGTTTCAATATTTTTATATTAAGCAATATTAAGCAACTGTTTTCAGTATTGATAATAATAATAAATATTTATTGAGCAGCAAATCAGCATTTTAGAATGATTTCTGAAGGATTTCTGATGTGACACTGAAGACTATAGTAAATGTAGGCTTAATATGTCTCAAATGTTGTCTATTTGAGCAGCTCTCTTTTGGTTTTGAAACAGATCAGTTTGATAAATCTGTTTTTTTTCTCCAGATAAAATTATACTTTGACCATCTCCTTTCAGACCATCTCTTTTCAAATCCTAACTTTCCTTTATCTTTCCTGTCTTGCAGAAGAGCACCAGTCGAACCTAATGAGTATCCCATGCAGCCGTGGGCTGGACACAGGGACCCAACACCCTACCCAAATCCACAGTCCGGCTACCACCCCAGATACCCTCCCAGAGACAACTATCCTCGCCTTGTGGACCCCCGGCAGAACGACTCAGGGTTCCATCACCCTCCTCCACAGCAGAGAGGCCCGCTTCGACAGGACGTGCCCCCTTCTCCCACCATACCCCTCCGAGGCCCTCGCTTTGACACCATGAACCGTGGCGGCTACCGCAACAACAGCCCAGAGCGTTACGCGTATGGAGAGGCGCGACACTCAGACCCAAGACAGAAGAGTCCAATGACGGCGGCAGTTTAACCTCAACATTTATTTTTCACCCGGTGTACGATGCTTCTAGAGCAAGCACCAGTGTGCCTACAGTTATGGACAGGTGTTTACATGTTTTTACTAACAATTTGCTCTATACTATCTGATCTTGATAGCCAAAGCTACATCTTAGAGTCCTGGCACAGCGTTTGCAGGGACAATGATCCATATGTAACTCAGTCCCACTCAGACGGTCCCTCCATATGTTTGTGTGTCTGTAAGATTAATGTTGGCCCTCAGATCCAGATATAAACACATTCCAGCACCACTTTTATTAGAACATTATTGTTCAATCTTTACAGTGATCATTTGAAACTCTGGTATGGGTGTACAAATGTGTGTCTGCTTTTGCTTATGTTAAATATTTTAGAGCACTCCATATACTCTTTGAATTTAACTTTTCTATAATGGAAGGATATTAAGCCACTATACGAGATTCAAATCAACATTGTGTCATCTTAAAATATTTCTTATTTGGTATATGTATATCATGTATAACAAAAAAGTACAACAATTTCGTACTGAAAATCGTAGTCTTGAATATTTTGTAAAAATACCACAGTACAACTGTCCTTTATGTGAAGTCATATAAACAAAGGAAGATGAAGAAAAAGAGGTTGTTTTCTGGTAGAGGAAAGGAGAGTCCAAAGAAGCTCTGACACAGAGGAAGGAAGGGTGAGAACCGCTCGTCTTCCTGGGCTTACAGGAAGTTCAGGTAACATGATAAATAAAAGTATTATTGATTGTAGTATGTGATAATCATGTGAAACACATATGTAGATTTTTACAAAACAGAAGTATCTGTGGACCTAGTATCACTGCATACATTAATACTATATACAAAATGTTGTCTTTTATATAACACATTTTCAATAAATATGCATTTGAAACAATTAGTCACTATTTAGTCATTTTTAAAACTTTGAAACATCCCTTTAGCTGCGCTAAATCACTGCACTAGATGAACAGTCCTCCGGTACAATTCTATTTAATCTCCCAGCCCCCTGATAAAAACTCTACCTGCGTGTGTGATAATAGATGGCTGCAAATTAACACTGCAGTAATTATCAATTAACATGAAGGGGTGGAATGCATCTGTGATTATGGTCCAATTTTTAAATTTGAGATGAAATTTGGGCTATTGGAGAATGAAGAGTTTCATGTGATAATTACAAAGGCCGCACACCGCATTATCTGTTCAGGATTAATTAGAGCACTGTTCAGAAGAGGAATGCTGGGAGAGAAAGAGATATTAGTGTATGTAAAGGCATTTGTCAAAAAGTGTGTCATTTCAGACCACTAACGGCGCCAAATGACTTTACTAAATTCTGACTGTTTTCAAGCTGTTTTCTACAAACACACCCCCTTTCTGCCATTGTTCACCAAACATATCACTTCACCTCAAATTCACACAATTGGCTGAGCAATAAATTGACCACTCAGGCCACTAAAACAACCAAAGTGCCACAGTATTTTCACTTTTCAGGGAAATTAACAAACAGCTGAGTTGTGTTGTATATAATCTCGTAGTAACATAATAATAAAATAATAGATTATATATGAGCTCACTCATTAAAATGGATAGGCAAAAGTATTTCAATTACAAATGGGACACCTTCACTTTAAAAATCTCACCGTTGGTTATGGGCACTTACACCTTCAGAGAGCCAAATGTATAAAGAAAACGAATTTTTTTGTGTGTCTCCCTTATAGGTTGTTGGTTTTAAAAAAGTCTAAAAAGATGTAGTAGAAATTTGTCATAAAATGAAATAAACATTGTCATTGTCTATTAATCCTCATGTCATTCAAACTCATAAGACTCCTGTGGAACACAATAAGAGTTGTCACAATGTCTACACTGCAGCTTTTGTAAGGCTGGAACCACTTGCCACCCGGCTACAGGCTTGGAAAGCTGTCCCGGATGTGTCAAGCTGGGTTCTAGACATCATAGAATGACACTACTCGCTTCAGCGGTATTATCCAAACTTCGGTACTGGACAACGAAGCTCACGTTCTCTTGTCCGAAGTATAGACACTGCTTGCAAAAGGCGAACAACGAGCCAGGCTTTTACAGCCGCTACTTCCTCATTCCCAAGAATGATGGCGGGCTCAGACCCATTATGAGAAGGGACTTATGAGAAGGCCATTCAAGATGTTAACTTTGAAGCAGATCCTCACGCAAATATGTCCCGAAGACTGGTTTCTGTCAGTGGATCTGATAGATGCTTACATTCACATCCAGATACTCCCCATCACAGACCGTTCTTGAGATTCGCATTCGAGGGAGTGGCCTGTCAATACACAGTCCTGCCATTTGGACTGTCTCTGGCCTCATGCACATTTACGATGTGCATAGACCCGGCTCTTTCCCCTTTGAGACAGATGGGAATCCGCATTCTGAACTACCTCGATTGGCTCCTGGTCAAACCTGGAGCAGCGCTTGCACATCAACTACATCGAAATGATGGAGGTTTTTCTGGCCCTAAAAACCTTCCTTCCAGCATTAAAGGGGCACCACGTCCTGGTCTGCTAGGACAACATGACGGTGGTAGCCTATATCAATCACCAAGCAGTCTCAGGTCACATATCCTCAAACAGTTTTTAGTCTGTCTTCGGGAGGGCAGAGGTGGACCTCTTCACCTCAGAAGACAACTCTCACTGCTCAATTTATTTCTTGAGACAGCGAGATGCTCTGGCCCATGAATGTCCCAGCACATGCCTGTATGCCTTCCCTCCTATTGCCCTGCTCCCTCAGCTCATCAGATGGGTCAGGGAAGTCAGATGCTCAGTCCTCCTGGTGGCCTCACTCTGGAGGAATGAGACGTGGTTGCCCGAGTTGATCCAGCTGCTATCGACAGCCCCTTGGCCAATATCATTAAGGAGGGACCTTCTCTCACAAGCGAAGGGCATGATTTGGCACACCCGGCCAGTGCTGTAGAGCCTTCATGGTTGGCCCCTCGACAGGAGCCTTTGCAGCTCCCCACGAGTGTGACGAATACCATTTTAGAGCCCTTTTTACAAAACGCCTTTATGCCCTTAAATGGTCAGTCTCATTTGAGATGCTCCAGTTGGCCAATCTGCGGCCCATGTCACTTAAGACTGCCCTCCTTTTGGTTTTAGTCTCGGTCAAGTGAGTAGGTGACTTGCAAGCACTGTCAGTCAGTGCTTCCTGCCTCAAGTTTGGGCCTAAGGACTGTAGAGTTGTCCTCAAACCAAGACATGGCTATGTGCCGAAACTGCTGTCCACTACATTCAGAGCTCAAGTTATCACCCTTCTGGCACTCCCCGTTGCAGACGGTGAACAGGGTCCCAACCCACTCTGCCCAGTTCGTGCCCTTACAGTGTATGTTGAGCGCTCTGGCCTGTTCAGACACTCAGAGCAGCTCTTTGTATGCTTCGGAGGCCGCTCTAAAGGGCCTCGCTGGATAGTGGATGTTATAGCCTTGGCTTATGCCTCAGCAGACTTGCAGTGCCCTATAGGTGTGAGGGCCCACTCTACCAGAGGAATGGCCTCCTCCTGGGCTTGGTCCAGTGGGATTTATATTGGTGAGATTTGTGCTGTCGTTGAGTGCCATTGGTTTGTGCAACTACACAAACGTGAACAAATCAGGCTTCAGTAACAGAGTAAATATGAGTTTCCCCATAGCATGTTAACGCAACGCTCGGTCCCTTATCTCAGGGAGTCTAGGTAACGCAAGTAACCGGAGCGTTTTAAATTGTCAGTGTTCTCCAAATAGATGTCGTAGTCTTGTCTCCTGGAGGAAATTACTGAAATTTGACTTAGACACTGACCATTTTTTATAACAAAATAATAACTTAAGAACAAAAAAAAAGTTTGTTTGAATTACGATGTTAATTAATGTGGAAATGCTTCATCAAATGGTCAATTTCTTCTACTTTGCTTCGTACGCGCACACTCCTCCTGCATATTAATCATCAAAAATGGATGAGAAGAAACTATTTCTTCTAGTTTAGAACTGGCTATTTCCACAAGAAAACCCATTAAAAATACATGCTGTCCTGACTCCTGAGAAGCATCACGGAGTTCATGAAAATCCGAGGTATGAGTTCTATGCTTTTCAGCTGCAGTGCGATGAAAGCGTGAGAAATAGTACGAACAGAGACAACCCTTCTGATTGGCTGTGCGTTGTGATTGATTGTGTTGTGTCACAGCGTATATTTGCTATCAGCTTTTTGTGTGCTTTCTACTAGAGTTGATTTACAAGTTAATGATATTGTTTTCTTTGATTCATTTGTTTTCATGCCAACTAATTGTCTTTTTTCATATATTTTTTTGAGTATTGAGGCTTGTATGTGGTTTACTAGGAGTTTTCTTTATTCTTGTATGTGGATGGCTCATTTCTCTCAGAGGCAGAAAGTATGCCACCTTAATTACCTAGATGTTCGTCTCTCCCAGAATCCATTTGGGATGTGTAATTATTGAAAATGATTATTAGGCAAAGTTTTAATTAGCATTTGAGGCCGTAGTAATTATACATTTCCATTTTGTGTCACTGCATGCACTGTCACGGCTGACAGAAAGAGAGAGGGAGAGAGGGTCCGAGGTGCTTGTTTTGGTGGTGAAGAAGCGTCTCCCATAGATATGCTGAATGACTCTGACACACTACTATCAAATTATTGTGCTGTCATTCGGGCTACACATTCAGAGGCTTACGGATCATTTCTTTAACACGAGTCGTTAATTTGATATTAATTCAATTTGATGAAGCAAAAAGGACAGGTGATTAGGCTTATGCGTAATGTTAGAGACGTTATTATACTAAACCTTTGTTTTTTATTACATTCTGTTCGTCTCTCCTACTCCCTCTCACAATCTGTCTCTCTCTCTTCTCGTAATTCAATATCAGAAAGTTGCTGGTTGATTTATTTGCAAACCAAGCAGTTCTTTGGTGTGAAGATTTTATCTTCTCGAACAGTGCAAAAGGGAAATTTTGTGGAGAACTGTTAAAATGTGCCTGTGGAAATATAGTTTAAATTGGAAGCAAGCATATGAATGTTTTCTTCTTTTTGTCTATGTGTGAATGCATGCTGGGAATCTGATTTATGACAGTTGTGACAGACAGTCTGGAGTTGTTTCCTCGCGTCCCTCTGTTTGAGCTTTACAGCTTAACAGCAGCATTAAGACACTAATTTTAACTTTTCCACGGCTCTGAGCTGAATGTTCAGTGTCTCCAGCGGTGCTTTTGTACTGTACTTACTGGTGTTTAAAACCTTGCATTTGTCTTTTGTGAGATTTCAGTAAATACAGATGCTTTCAAAAGCTTGAGACACATTGACTAGACACTGATTCTTGAGTATGGTGACAAAACAGCCTACAAAACTGACAAAATAACAGATTATGGGCATAAGGAATTATTTTGAATCGGTTCGTCTTGTACAGAGTTATTCACAAATTTTTGGGTGAAACCTCCCTCTTCTTCCGTTTTGTCACAGGCAGAGGCGGACAAAGTACTCAACTCCATTACTTGAGTGAAAGTACAGATACTGCTGGTCAAGTATTACTCCATTACAAGTAAAAGTTGTAAAGACAGATTTTTACTTGAGTAAAAGTACAGAAGTACTTGCTTTTAAAAGTACTTAAGTAGCAAAAGTAAATTTCCTTTTTTATGTCAATGCACTGTTTTATTGTTGTACGTAGTAGTACTTACAATACTTCTGAAGCAACTTATAATACATTACACCTGCTGAATACAGTACAGTGAAATCCTGTAAATACAGAGTGATAAGGAAGATAAAAAAAATCAAACCTGCTTTAAAACCCAGCAACACAACTGTAGCT